TCCCTCCATAACCCCGGGGACCGCCTCATCACCCACCACCTGGGGGGTTGTCTAGCAATGAGGTCGGTGCACACCACAATCAACGGCAGTTGTGATAACGTGCATATGATTGCCAAATCGACTGCGGAGCGCTGCACCGAACCGTCGTTTGGTGCAGGGAACACGGCGTTTTGCCAAAAGTGTTGCCTGTCGCAGTCACACAACCGTTGGATCGCTGCGTTGGCACTGCGTGCTATCTGTTGAGCAGCAGCTAGCACCACGACAAGAACTGCGGATAGCTGCCGTCTAGAAATGCGCCCCATGACGCAACAACGATGCTTTTCCCGTCGGTACGTTGAAGCACCGCTACGCGTTCAAACACAGGACGAATATCGCGTGCACATAAGACGTGATTCAACACTCAGACTGTATAGAGGACGAGGTGCACATGATATTTATGTCGCTTTCACCTCACCCAGAGATCGCAAGTTAACCACACTACCCGAACAGCGGCGCGCGCGAAGGAACCACCGACAGCTTCGGCCCACAGCCGGATGCCACCGCCYGCCCAAAACGTACCGACAGCGAAGTGCACAGCCTCATCTCTCCATCGAGAAACGCGGGTGAAGAGAGAAACGAATGCACCACGCTTCCAACACGCCCGGACGGACGGAAAGCCTCCACATGTGCACGGGGGCGCAAAAGGAACACAACCCCTCTCCCCCCTGGGTCCACATCCGCCGGTTGCCGTGGGCACCACCAACAGCACTCGACGCAGGCGAAACCCAGGAGACGGAGGACAGTAGCCTTCGAAGCCCACAACCTAAACGCAGCGGAACCACGACGCAACGCGATCCGTCACGGTGTGCAGCATACATGCCTCTCTCAGGTTTACAATTTGTATTGTTGTTAGTATTTTCCCTTTCGGACAGGGAGAACCATATCGAAAGGGTGAATCCACATACGAGCATCCCCGTGAAAGTCGGTCCCTTTGTGCAAGAGTCCGTCCAGATGCTCGACTGTTGCACCTCCTGGAAAACCAGTCCATATCCCATGAAACGTCTCCGTGTTGATTGACGCAGAATGTGTTGGGTACGGGGCGCAGCGCCCCATAACTGAAATGCAGAGAACCGGGACCATCGTACCACGGAGATACTGTCGAAAACCAACTGGGCCACCTCGACTGGCACACCCCCGAACTGTCGGAACAAAGTCCCACTAGCAGCGTTGAGCTACCTCAAAGCCTGAATCTGGACGGTTTTGCGGAGATGTGCAGAAATGGTGTTGAGTTTCCTGAACTGCACCTCTCCACAAAAACGTCCAGATTCTGGCGTTGAGGTAACTCAACACTGCTAGTGGGACTTGGCCCCGGACACAGTAAGTTCGAATCGACGTAGCAGAAGACCACCGTAGTGAAATCGTTGTGGAATACCCGACGACCGAGTCCCGCCACTGTGCCACAGGCATGGAGTTCCAGTAACAGGTATTGTGGACGTGTGGGCGGAGATGCGTGGTTGTGCAAACCCGGCACCATTTCTGAATGTCTCCATAGACACTACCACCTTCAAGCAATGAGCAAACTAACCACCGCTAGTTGGGCTTGGCCGTGGCGCACCGTAACAACGAGGAGGAATGAACGTAGTTATCATGGGAGGCTTGCCCTGTCTCGCTCACAGCACCTCAGTTTGGTAAAGCCTGGTCTAAAAGGAGGGTTGATTCTGTCATCATGGCTGATTCAAAAGCCACTACCTGTTTTCTTTTTTGTGTTTTTCCTAACAAATACGTCCTCGTTTCGTTATATGATGAAGGATAGGGTCGGAACCTGCGAGGAATGGACGTACTTATCTTTGGGGGGGGGGGGGGGGGGGAAGGGACTGTCCGGATCCGCGCCGCGCTCACGGCCGCGCCGGCGCGCAGCCATGGCGGCTGCTTCGCCGCTGCCGCCGCGATTCCGGGGGGCGCCGGGCGCCCGGGGGGGTTTTTTGGGGGGGGGGGGGGGGGCGGCGGGGGCGCGATGGACGATGTCCACCCCTCAACAAACCCCGATACCTTAATGTAAGCGGCGGAAACAACGAGATAGGTGTTGACAGTCTGTGAGTAGTCTGCCCGTAAGTTAAATTATTATATTGTTCCGACTGTTCCAAAGTAAACAAATCCCTGTACCTTCGTGTAAGCGGTGGAAACAGCGAGAGGGTTGTTGACAGTCTCTGACCAGTCCGCCCGTCAGTTCAATTATGAGTTCGTTTTAACCGTATTTGATTAAAAAAAAATTCACACACACACACACACACACACACACACACACTCACGCACACACGCACAAACACACACACCGAATGGCAGTTGCGATATGTCAGTCGCATAATTGACACAGCTGGAGAAATACAGAGAGTCAACCACCGCCGATGACCGACATTCCTGCTACATTTATTGGTTGAGTCAAACGACGAACGTGGACGTGTTTGTGACTATGTGCATTTTACCAATGTCGTCGGCGTTTCCACGCACGTCTGCGAGGATTTCCACATTCGCCTGTCGACGACGGCGGTGTTGTCCGTGCTTGCAGGTATCCGGGCGACGATGTGTGCATGTCATCCTTCTGCACGGGCCATGGAAATTGTCTGTATCCTTCCAATTCACAGGGTGTCCCGAGAGATTTACGAGTGGGTTATCCGCTGTTATAAACCCTCCAATCACGCTGCCAGGAAGGGCGGGCAGCACACTTGGGGTTTAGGATGCTAGTGGGGGTTGGGTAAGCGCGATGGACGAGGTTTACTCCTGAAATAGTCCCTGCTACTGTCAACTTAGCAGGCGAAACAGAAAGAGCCTAGAGGGTTGTTGACAGTCTCTTAGTATTCCGGGGGCCAGCTTTGTTTCAGGATCTTCGCTGCGCGATGGACGATGTCCACCCCTCAACAAACCCCGATACCTTAATGTAAGCGGCGGAAACAACGAGAGGGGTGTTGACAGTCTGTGACCAGTCTGCCCGTAAGTTAAATTCTTATATTGTTCTTACTGTTCTGGAGTAAACAAATCCCTGTACCTTCGTGTAAGCGGGAGAAACAGCGAGAGGGTTGTTGACAGTCTCTGAGTAGTCTGCCCGTCAGTTCAATTATGAGTTCGTTTTAACCGTATTGGATTGAAAAAAAAAATCACACACACACACACACACACACACACACACACACACACACGCACACACACACAGCCACACACACTCACGCACACACACACAGACACAGACACACACACCGAATGACAGTTGCGATATGTCAGTCACATAATTGACACAACTGCAGAAATACTACGAGTCAACCACCGCCGATGACCGACATTCCTGCTACATTTATTGGTTGAGTCAAATGGCGAACGTGGACGTGTTTGTGACTATGTGCATTTTACCAGTGCCGTCGGCGTTTCCACGCACGTCTGCGAGGATTTCCACATTCGCGCGTTGACGACGGCTGTGTTGTCCATGCTTGCAGGTATCCCGTAATTAACGATAAGTCTGACACAAACGAGCGACGATGTGAGCATGTCATCCTTCCGCATGGGCAATGGAAATTGTCTGTATCCTTCCTATTCACAGGGTGTCCTGAGGGATTTACGAGTAGCATTTCACTATTCGCTGTTATAAACCCTCCAATCACGCTGTCGGAAAGGGCGGGTAGCACACTTGGGGTTTAGGATGTTTGTGGGGGTTGGGTAAGCGCGATGGACGAGGTTTACCCCTGAAATAGTCCCTACTACTGTCAACTTAGCAGGCGAAACAGCGAGAGGGTTGTTGACAGTCTCTGAGTATTCCGGGGGCCAGCTTTGTTTCAGGATCTTCCCCGGTCACTGCCAGGATGTAATTATCGGAATCGTCAGGCAATTGCCAGGCTTTGGCAAATTAACAGGCATTGGCAAATGTCAGCACGTGGCGGGCTGTCGTGGTGCCGACGCTGTGTGCGGAATGCCTAGTCCACACTCTCTACGGATGGGTAAGGAAGGGATATACGTTTCCAGTAAACGCGGGGAGATTCATTTGGTTTTTTTTTTTGTTTTGTTTTTTTTTTTCTTTTTTTTCTTGCGTGATATCAAAATTGTATCCGGACCTAATATCCTAGCTCACTGGGTACACCCATGAACCGTTGAAATACAGACGTGAGTTCGAATGTAGATGATGGAACTCGATAAGGATAAACGGATAGATTTCGGAAATGCCTGGGGCCGGTCAGATCGACGATTGTGTCATTTGGAGGCAGGGGACAGCGGGTAGTCCCTGCTACCGAGCATCATCTGAGTGGCCAGTCGCTCTGCCTCCCCCATTACCCCTCCCATATGAACATCATCAGATACTGCTCATTAATGCCAATTGGAGGGCGTTATCTCTAGGTGGCGGGCCCCAAGCATGCCGAGGAAGGCACATGAGCCCAATGGGGATTGAACCCAAGACCTGTTGAATGCCACTTGTGTGCCTTACCGGCTGAGCCCGGCAGCTGGATCGACGATTATATCTCACGATCGTCGCCCTTTTCTTCTATATATACATTTTTGTTTATTTTTATTTTTTTTAACAAAGAAAAGGAAATTGTGTGGGGAGGCAGGCGATCCTCCACAAACAACCCGGGGAGCAATCTGGAAACCGGGATGAGACCCCCCTTTGCCCTCACTTTACCTCCCGATGAACCCTACACTCCTACGTAACCCACCCGTAGACCTGCGAATGGATGTGGTCTGTAACGTCGCAACGTTCGCATGGCAATACGGTTGTCATCAAGGGAATCACCCCGGGATAACCCGTCCCAGTCTTCCAGGGAATGAGAAGGATAATAAAGTACGGACCGACGGACAGGCTGAGTCGTTGAGTATAAAGTACCGTAAACAGCAGCGTGCATTGTACACTACCGCGGCGACGCAAGTAGTCGGGAAATTTATTCGAGCTGTGCCTATCACCCAATCTAACCTCCGCTCTCTCCGCTCGCATACTGCACATTTTGTTTAGCGTCGTCGTATTCAATCGTCCGTGTAGCCGGCAATAGCGTCGTCATTGTCTCACATGTTTCGTCGCTGCATACATGCTTCTTGGGTCTCTGCTCGAAGGGTATTCCGCCGAGTTAGTTGTCCGTACCGCACCTTTAGCGCTTTACGAAGTTGCACGCGTAATGTCATCCGCATCCTGCGAACAGCCCGCAAACCGTCCCATTCCCACCATATCATGCAATTCGGAAAGAACTCCTGTGCACGCCGGTGGCGCTGATAGTGCACCCATAGATTTCTGCACACAGCAACTCGTGGGCGTCGGCATCTCACTTTCACCACTCACACGTCGAGAAGTTGCCAACGCTGGATCACAGAAAGCTTCGCTCTTTATCGACCTGCGTAGTAACGAGAGAGACGATGGGGACATCGCTGGATGGATGCCAGCTTTGTTTCAATCCCCTGGAACGGAGTCGCTCCGTGTCCCGAACGTCGTTTCGCCTCTCGCTTCGTCCGACATCCAAGAAATAACGGCCGACGAATATCAACAGTCGCTGCGGAGGAAGGCGGTCGAGAATGGCCATGACGTCAGGGCGAACGACGTCGAACCTGCAATGTCGGCATCGCAGGCGGCGGCTGTCCTGGAATGTCTACGGTCTACGAGTGGAGAACGGAAGGTGCGTGGAGTTGAAGCCCACATCGTGGGAGCTAAGCGGATGGAATCTAAGAAGATCGGAAGTTCAACTACCGTGGGGGGTGGCGATGGCAATTCCGGGGAGACAGTACCTGTGCACGTTGGTGGTGTAAACGAGGTGGAACACCACGTCGGGCGCAGTGCAGCGTGGGCGGACGCATCGGACGGGGGAGGCGAGTTTTTCAAGAGTCGACATCAATATCCGACATCCAATCCACATGACGCCAATGATATCGAGTCGATAGATTCGCCCACGCAATGCTGCGGTGGATGGACGAACGATGAGACCGTGGCGTTGATCGACTCGAAGGGCATGCATGAGGCCGGTCGGCTTTTGGAGCTCTCACCCACAGGCAGTATAAGCGGAGCCAGGCGGACGTGGGAGACAACATATGAAGAGAGCAGGCGTGGGTGGGAACACATTGCCGGGCTCATGCGCTCCGAAGGCCACAAACGGGGTGCCACGCAGTGCAGAAGTCGGTGGAGATGTCTGTGGTCGTCGTTCAAGACCGCGAGGCGTTATATGGTCCGAGATGATCAGCCGCCGTACTGGGAGATGAGCGTGGAAGACCGCCGAGACTGCGGGTTGGAGACTCACTTCACGCGTGAGTGGTTCGAACTGATACAATCGTACTCGCAGCAATGGGACAGTTGTATTCCACATCGCGGTATTCGTATAAGTAAGGTCGGGGCGAACGGCGAGGAAAGCAACCACAATCAGCATGCCGAGCATCGAGGACAGGGCACGCCGAAGAAGCCGCGTACGGTTGTGGAGGAGCTTGAGAAGACCGTGAAGGATTTGTGTAACACCGCCTCGACGTGCACCGCCAGGCAGGTCGAACTGCTGGACCTCCATTCCGAACGGATTGCGTCTCTTCAGAGGGAGAGCGCAAAGAACTTCGTGGCAACGATGGAGGCAGCTTGGAGGGTCGTTTCCGATATCATGCGGGAGTTCATAAAGACATCGACGGCCACGTCGGGCAGGGCCAACTGACAAGGTCGCCAGCAACGAGGGTGATGCGACGACTGGAGTTTCAAATTGTTGTATACTACCGCGGTGACCGTAGTTGCCGTCAGGGTTCAGCAATCACGACGCAGGCTTTAGTGTCGCAGTACGGGACTACTTCGACGGCATCAACCGGCAGTGACGTTGATGCATTTTTGGTTTTTTTTTTTTTATACGTGTTTGTTTCTTTGTCCTGTTTAAATTTTTTTTTTTTCGTTTTAGAGTGCGGATGACGTGATTTTCCACATCGGCTGGACACATGCACAATACTCAGTCGCAAGTTTTTGCGCCCCCCCCCCCCCCCCCCCCTGATCATGGACATGGTTTGTATCTGCTTCCACTACGCATGGACGCTCCGTTTTTTTTGGTTATATGCCCGTTTTGTTGCGTAGTAGTGGGATAGACCATGGCGGTTTTTTTGGTTATATGCCCGTTTTGTTGCGTAGTAGTGGGATAGACCATGGCGGTTTTCTTGGTCATATGTCCGTTTTGTTGCGTGGTAGTGGGATAGACCATGGCGGTTTTCCATATCGCGTGGAGACATGTACATTACGAAATATGTTTTGGTTTTGTTGCGTAGTCATGAAGATGCTCCGTAGCAGCTTAAAGCCTCAAGGGACTACGGACAACAGAAAAGAACATGGAGGAAAAAAGAAAATAGGAAAAAAAAAATAAAAATAAAAAATCAAAGAAACACGACAAAATTACAAAACACAGCAACGGACACCAATTTTGCGACTGTCTGTCCTGGCCGGCCTGGTGTCCAAGTGGATGTACATCATGTACTTTGAAGCTATAATAATTTGGGACATTGTCCCACACATCTCTCTCTCTCTCTCTCTCTCTCTCTCTCTCTCTCTCTCTCTCTCTCTCTCTCTCTCTCTGTTTCTCTCTCTCCTGTGTAACCGGCTGAACGTGCTGAACACGCGTTCATGTTCAAACGCACACGTTCATACCCCTTGGGGCCACGTTCAATTGCGTTCAAACACGCTGCGCGCCACGTGCCGCAAAAAAATTGAACGCGACCCCAGGGGGCGCGCGTGTGCATTACGAGGTGGTGGGCCTCGTTCAAGGAACCCCGAAAGTGCAAAAAAAAACACCCTCCAGGCCTACCCCCCCTACCACGTCACCCCCCACCATATGTGAAAGGTCCTTTTTTTGGGGGGGGCGCGGGCGGGGGAATCCCCCTAACACAACTCAGACGGCCCATGCAGGCTGTCTGAAGGGTCCTCGCAGCCATGTAGCGCAGACCCCCCCACCAAAGTCAAGGCAGGCCAGCTCCTCCTTGCTCACCGTAGGATGGGCGATCGATGACGGGAACGGCACAGCAGTGCGCGACTTCCCAACCTCACCAACATACTGGTTGCATTCGCTCGATCTGTCGCGCAGCGAGCGACATCTCCTTCTGCCCTTATTGGACAGAGGTATCGCGGTCGTCAGTACCGAGGATGGTTCCAGGACCTCGTACACGATGTCCATCTTCCGCGGTTTCACAGGTGCACTCAATCCTAGCCGCACGATTTACTACGTGGGAACATATCGCTGCATCAAGTACTCCGTCATGGATGGGGACTCGCCGGCCAGCTTTGGTAACGAATTCCGATCTATATCATGCCCTACGGTCTCCGGTTTGCTCTTCAGTCGTCGAAATTTTCTCCAAGATGGGAGCTACCTATACGCTTGGGAAAAAAGTAATAGGACAGTTCTAGGTATTGATCTCATTAGTGGAGCGGTAACCGCGATCCCGCAAATTAGAGATCAGGCAGTGGGGGATTTTGCGTTGACACAAGATGGGTGCAACATGTTCGCCATCGCTGGGAAGAGTATCATGCGGGCAGATTTCGATAAACCAGGAGGAAAGGTGGTTAAGGTAGAGTACGTGACGACCTATGCCTCTCAACATTACGACATCAGGACCGCTTCTCTCGATAATGACGGCAGTCATTTGTACGTGGCGACGTCGAATGGCCAGCTGTTACAATTTCCAATCAACAAGTCCGCTCTAGGGGAATGCAGCGGTGCACTTCCAACACCAGCCGCTCCGACGGGGGCTGCCTCGGCCTATCAATCGCCATCGCCAGCACCATCAACCGGTGCATCTCCAGCAGCCGGAGCATTGTCTTCGGCAGGACACGATGGGAGTAGTACAGGTGTCAGTGGTAGATTGGCCGACACGCTGTCAAGTCCTTCGCCGACAACCGTCCGAACGCCACCAAGGGGACGTGTCAACGTCGGCGTGCAAGCTTGCAGCTTTGTGGCAGCTTGTCTGGTCTCCGCTGTTCTTGGTGGCGCTTTAGTGCTCCTCGTTTCTCGATCTAGAAAATCAGCGAAGGCAGAATCTGGTGTTATGACCGCGATGTCTACTGCTCTCGAACACCCCGTAGAACGGTGTTCTGCTCTTGAACACCCGGTACAACGGTGTTCTGCTCTCGAACGCCCCAGTTGAGGCTACAGCAGCTGTCCTTACGTTCGTCTTCTTTCTTTTTCTTGTGTGTGTGGTGTTTGGCTGCAATCTTACAGATCGAGCAGCCTGTCCCTCGGGTCCAGCATTGGTCACCCCAGCGGAGTTTCTTGTCTTGTCCTTCGCTGCTGCTGAGGCTTCTTTAGTCTGTTTGCGGGGGAGCGACCGCTGTACGTCTCTCGTTACCCCGTTTTTTAATATTTTTTTTCGTTGGCGCTTTCTTCTGAGGGGGTAGCCCTGCCCTTCACTCTATCGAATCCTTTTGGGTTTGAAGCCTTTATAATCAGGGTCTATTGACAGTTACACAACTTTGCCCGGCGCTTTCCTTATTTTCTGTTTTCTGGGTCTCTCGCAGGGGGGTGGCGGCTGAGGGTACATTCATTCTGGCGCGGGATAATTCACGGGTAACAGGACCGCGGAATGAATTTCCCAATTAAATCCACTTATCTGATCTCTGTTGCGTCGTTGCATTGATGACGAAACATTGGACCTTTTCCGTTATCATTATGGTTTTCTGTTGTTGTTGTTTTCACTTTTCGCGATTTGATTTTGCCTCTGGGTGTTAGTTGCTGCTCGAACAGTCGCCAAAGGCATTGGGAGAATCATGCGAGAAGGGAGGGGATTCAAACTCTTAATCTATTTTTTTTATATATGTAATGTGCTTTTCATCAATTGCTCATGTGACTCGACGTTGTATGATGGGGATTTGGATGGTGTTAGGATTAGGGTTGTGCAGTGGAGGCGAGGTGAGGTTACACGGAAGTCTTTTATGGTGGGGTTTTTTTTTTTTTTTTTCCCACCTTTTAGCCGTGCTATAAGCTGTGAAAGACAGACAGTTGCTTACAGCTGTGCATCCCTCTCAAATTGTGGCGACGTAGGTCCTAGAGGCACTACTCAATATGGCTCTGCACTGCTCTCTGCACCAGATACGTTCACACTGATCAAACGTTTCGAATGTCTTGGTCCATTACCTCCTCCAGATACATTGAGAATCTTGCGGAGTGGAGCGACGCCCTTTGTAGCTCTCGTCTTTCCTTGAGTCCGATTCTTCTTTCTTTCTTTTCCAACCAAACAAAACTTGTTTCGAAAACAAAATCATTTTTACAATTTCTTGACTGGTCCCGTTGGAGTAAAATTTTGGACTCTTTTTTTTTCTTTTTTCTTTTTTTTGTCTTTCTAGCTGGACCAAGTACTGTGTCCCTTCCCATCAATTCGCTTCGGTTAAAAAAAAAATAAAAAAAATAAAAATAAAAAAAAAAAACAGAAAAAGAAGGACCAAGGAAAAGCAAGAAACGAACGCAAGCAATCTGGCCTCCACGTGGCGCCGCGCTGCACCTGCACGAGATGAGGGCAACTGGTTAGGTTACCAAACCTAACCCTAGCTCTACACCATAGCGCGTCGCCGCACGGGACATGAAACGAAAAACGAGACGAGTGCAATGGCAAGGTTCCTCCGTTTGCTATAAATAGTAACGAGTGTATTTTGCCACCTTTCGTGGGCAGATGCACTCGTTTCGTTTTTGTTTCGTGTGCCAGCCGGAGCTCGGCAGGAGGGGCGAGAGGGGGGAGACGCCTGGGCTTGATCCGACTACTACCGCCTTCCCCCGAACACAGGGCGCCCTCATTCTGACTATGTATGACTGTATCTGAACGCAAAACTAGCTTGTAAGCGGAAGCCTGATGAGGGTGCGTTGATGAGGGTGCGTTGCGCTCGGAGGAAGACCTGCAGGTGCCCTATCAGCCTAAGATTGGCGTGATCTTCGCCGTGAAGGATCCGTGGCCAAGTCCTCGACAGCAAACGCAACGCAGCCTAATCTCAGAGGAAGAAATGCGGATGTGCATTTCATGATCTTCATCTACAGACTCATGACGACAATTGAAGCTTGAACACATCACCGCTCTCGTGCTGGAGCTCCGTCTATCCGTTTTCTGAATGCAAGGAGCATACCTACTCTCATCAGAGGTAGGTACCCCCCTGTACCAGTGCTCTTTGTCCTGACTCCTGAGTAAATGAACTTGATTCCACACCAGCTTACTTACAAGGGAACTGACTGTTGCCACTGCAGAAAGACGTCGGATATAGCGGTTGAAGAAGTATAGTGTGACCCTTGGATTATTTCTCTCTCCCATTCAGGAAACAAAACGGTAGAAGAAAGAATTAGAGAACCATAGCCTGGAGCTTCCCCTATGTTTAAGTTCGATAAACAATTGCGAAGCGACTCCTGGCTTGCTATTCTCGGTGACAGCCAACAGAGCGCCCATTTCGCAATCGGGCGCCATACTCAACTACATCCTACTACTACGCCTCACTAAGGGATTAGTCTACTGACCATGTGTAGGACGACGGGGTGTACGCTAGATTAAGAGACGATTCCGCTAGGGTGACTACTTTTTTCATTGTTTTCGCTTTCAAATTTCGAGAGGGGATCCGCAACACACCGAAGAAGTAAGAAATTTTCTCAGGGGGAGGAAAGCAAGATTACGACACGGGGTGATATAATGGGAGAGACCCCAAAAATATACATTGCATCGAGAAGGAGGAGAGATGAGTTAGGCCCGGAGAGAGAGAGAG